GCTGGGTGATAGACACTGGGGAGGGTATGTGCTATGGTGAGCGCTATGAATTGTGCAAGACTGTTGAATCACAGATCTGTACCTCTGAAACAAATAATGCAATATATGTTAAGAAAAAAAAAAAGAAGAAGATGGTAGGAGGGGAAGAATGAAGGGGGGGAAATCGGAGGGGGAGATGAACCATGAGAGCCAATGGACTCTGAAAAACAAACTGAGGGTCCTAGAGGGGAGGGGGGTGGGAGGATGGGTTAGCCTGGTGATGGCTATTAAAGAGGGCATGTTCTGCATGGAGCACTGGGTGTTATGCACAAACAATGAATCATGGAACACTACATCAAAAACTAAAGATGTAATGTATGGTGATTAACATAACAATAAAAAGTAAAAAAAAAAAAAGGTATCCTCATCCTCATAAGGTTATAAGCAGATTTCTCATCAGAAACTTTGGAGGCCAGAAGTCAGCCAATACATTCAAAGCATTAAAAAGAAAAAAAAAAAAAAACTATCAACCAAGAATCCTATATCTGTTAAAACTGTCCTTCAAAAGTGAGGGAAAAATTAAGACATTCCCAAATAAACAAAAGTGGAGGGAGTCTATTACCACTAGACCTGCCTTGAAAGAAATGTTCAAGGGTGCAGTGTGAAATGAAAGGACATTACACAGAAATTCAAAGGCATAAAAAGAAATAAAGATGTGATGAGCACTAGCTATCATATACAACTCATGAATCATTGAAAAACTAATGATGTATTATATGTTGGTTAATTGAATTTAAATCAAAAAAAGAAATAAAGATCAGAGTACAGGTAAAAACACAGGGAATTATAAAAGCTATTACTACTATAACAATGATTTGTAACTCCACTTTCTGTTTTTCTATATGATTTAAGAGAATAATGGTTTAAAAAAAACAATTATTTGTCTAAAAGCTAGTATTGTTGTAACTTCAGTTTGTACTCCACATTTTGTTTTCTCCATAATTTAAGAGACTAATGCATTTAAAAGAATTATTGCTGGAGTGGAGGGGGGTGGGAGGGATGGGCTGGCTGGGTGATGGACACTGGGGAGGGTATGTGTTGTGGGGAGTGCTGTGAATTGTGTAAGACTGATGAATCACAGACCTGTACCCCTGAAACAATACATTATATGTTAATAATAAAAAAATAAAAGAATCATAAAAGAATTATTACTTTATGTTTTTGGGCACAGACTGTATAAAGATGTCATATGGGGACATCAACAACTGAAAGGGCTGGGGATGGAGCTGTAAAGGAGCAGAGCTCTTGTATGTTATTGAAGTTAATCCAAATCTGAATTAGAGAGTTATAACTTTAGGATGTTAAATATAACTCCTTTAACCACGCACACACACAAACACACACAAGTAGCTATAGAATATACACAGAAGAAAATAAGTAATTTCAACATTTCACAATAAAAAAAAATCAGGGCGCCTGGGTGGCTCAGTTGGTTAAGTGACTGCCTTCGGCTCAGGTCATGATCCTGGAGTCCCTGGATCAAGTCCCGCATCGGGCTCCCTGCTCGGCGGGGAGTCTGCTTCTCCCTCTGACCCTCCCCCCTCTCATGTGCTTGCTCTCTCTCATTCTCTCTCTCTCAAATAAATAAATAAAATCTTTTAAAATAAATAAATAAATAAATAAATAAATAAATAAATAAAAATCAACCAAATGGAAAGATAGTAATCCAGGAAATAAAGGACAAAGTATATAGAAAACAAACAGCAAAATGACAGAAGTCCTTCCTTATCAGTAATTACTTTAAAAGTAAACAGTTTAAACTCTTAAATCAAAAGACAGAGATTGGCAGAATGGATAAAGACACATGATCCAACTATATGTTACCTTCAGGAGACTCACTTCAGATCAAAAGATACCAACACATTGACAGTGAAAGGATGGAAAAAGACATTCCAAGCAAACAGTAACAAAGGGGAGTAGGGGTAGCTATACTAAATCAGACAAAACAGACTATACATCTAAAAAAGGTTACAAGAGACAAAAAAGAACATTATATCTTAAGCAGATATAATAACAGCAAACATGTGTGCACCTAATAATAGACCATCAAAATATATGCCAGACAAACTGATAGAATTGAAGAGAGAAATAGTTCAACAAAAATAGCTGGAAACTTCAATGCCTGGCCCACAGTAACAGAATAACCAGGCAGAAGATGAGGACATAGAGGACGTAAACAACACAATAAACCAACTAGATCTAACAGACATTTACGGAACTCCCTAACCCACCAACTACAGCATACATATTCTTTTTTTTTTTTTTTAAGATTTTATTTATTTGCCAAAGAGAAAGAGAGAGGAGAGAGCACATGCAGGAGGAGCAGGCAGAGAGAGAAGCAGGCTCCCCGCTGAGCAGGGAGCCCAATGTGGGGCTCGATCCCAGGACCCTGCGATACATGACCTGAGCCAAAGGCAGATGCTTAGCCGACTGAGCCACCCAGGCACCCCCAGCATACACATTCTTCTCAAGTGCAGATGAACCATTTTAGGACATACCGTATGTTAAGTCACAAATTGAGTCTCAACACGTTTTGAAAGATAGATGTTCTACAAAGTATCTTCTGACCACAACAGGATGAAGTTAGAAGTCAATCAACAGAAGTAAAATTGGAAAATTCACAAATTTGTGGAAATTAAAGACACACCCTTAAAACTCTTCCCTTAAACCAAAAGTAATTCTAGATGGACTAAAGATTTAAGCATAAAAAAAAAAAAAAAGTTGCAGGAGAAAATGTGGGTAACCAAATATTTTTCATTCAGCATGTGGAAAATTCTTTACCTAAGACACAGAAGTGAGATGCCATACAGGGATTAAATTTTTAAGAATTCTATATGAAAAGTATCTATAACACATATAATAAACTGGCCAATTTCCTTTACTTAGGAAGAACGTGCATAAATACAGCAAGAGAAAAATGGGCAGAAGATGAACAGGGAAGTTTATAGAAAAAGAAATTAAAATGCCCAATAAAAAGGCAATCAAAATTAAAGAAATGTGCATCAAAACAATGGAAAACTCTATCCAACCAGAAAAAAAAAATAACAATTTAAAATACCATGTGTTCTGTGGGTCTGGAAAAACAAATTGCAAACTGAGGCAGCTCATAAGGAGCTACAAAGAAATAACATGCTCATGTGTGTTTTTAAGATGATAGGATGTTAAAATTTCTTACTACAATGACTACTTAATTATCTTAATGTTCCATATATAGCTTGCAGTAATTTAAAGAGGATGACACTGGGCAGGCTACAGAACACAAAGCCCAGAAAGTAAATGTAGTAGTAGTAGAAATACAGATGAGAGACAGATTATTGTCCTAAAGTGCAGAGCTACCTCACCACTTTGCACCTTATCAGTACGATCAGGGCAAGCTTTAGCCAATGTGCCTGGTGTTATTTATCTTTCCCTCTCCCTTTATCCGCACTCCCCTCTCCATCCCCATTCTACCACCTCCTAGTAAAAAGATCTTATATACTACTAAGTTTATTCACGTGTAAAAGGCAGGTGAGTACTTTTTCTGAGCTATTTTTAGGGATTAAATGGGATAATGCATGTAGCCTGTGGCCCATCCTAAGCATTCAAAAAGTAATAGCTCCTAGTTAGATGCTAAATCATCCTATTCTGCAATATTTTCTCTCTGTATGTCTTTTACTAAAACATGTCTTGACTTTTTTGGGAAAAAAAAGGCATCATATTTTGAAATAAATGTTAAAGTGGCAAGAATACTTAGTCACTGTTGTTCCACGGGCGCTCCCTGCTACGGTAAAGAATCAGTGGGGAACGGACATTAGTACACTGAACATGAGAGGGGTGTCCTCACTTAGCACGGGTGATGCTGCACAAGGCCTCTGACTACCATCAATCATTGCTGTGTAAGTTTGTTTTCTAGTGAATCTTGATGACCCAGAACGAACTCGGAGGAATACCAATTAGACCCCTCAAAATGAAGTAACTAAAAGCAGAGCATCTTGGTTTTTACCAAAGGGGAAAAGATGTGCTTTCCATGAACGCATCTCTGCTTGTTTTTCTGTACAGACATCTTCAAGAAGACATCAAAATATGTGCCACACTGACCGGGAAATGCTACCTCCTACTCTACCTGAGGGCATCACAGCTGGATTGGCTTGGAACAAAGACAAGAAAGGAAATTGGCGAAAAATGACTTTTTCTCAGGAAACAATTTCTTGTCAAGCAATACCAGGTCAAAACTTTAAAAAAGTTATTCCTGCTGAGATATTTCCACATTTTCTTTTTTCTTCCCTTTCATCCGACCCTTCCTTTGATCCTTCCCCCATTTATCCTATTTACTTACACTTCATTTGTTATCAGTTATATAAATTCTGTGTCTCCTGTGTGCACCCTGAGACAAGAAGCATGTCTTTCTCTTCAGTTGCTGAATCTCTTGCCCAGCACCTCACAGAAAATCTACTAGGAGGTGCTGGAAGAGCTTTTGAAATAAGCGAATAAAATCTATTATCTACACTGCGACATACTGCCAAGTGCCCTGGATCAGCAGTCAGAAAGCTCAGACTCCAGTGTCAATAACGCCATCTGCTGGTTCTGTAGCTTCAGACAGAAGCATTGCAGTATCTGGGTCCTCTTCTATAAAATAGATCTTCTATTTTCTCTGCTATTCCTTATGGTTTTACAAAATGAGATGCTGAAAGTAAAGGTTATTGTTTAGCTCATTTAAAGCACCATGATTACTTCTCTTGATCAGTATTTGCCATCCAAACATTCTAAATTTAAACAGGGATAGTACAGTTATTCTATTAGGAGAGGCAGATTTCATTAATGCGTTTATTTGCTTTTTCTTAAAATAAGCACAAAGCCATAAACAGCTTGCCATCACAAGTACACATAATGCTTATGTTCTGAAACAGAAATGGCCCGTGTTCACTGCATCATTTCCCAACTTTAATTATGACTTATATAGAAAGTGTTTGAATATTTCTTACCAGGTTCTGGAAGGTCTAATTTTGCACGCTTTAGTTCCACCATAGAAATCTGAAGTTGCTCTATTACAAAGTCATCTTCGAAGAAAAAATCCTTTGCCAGGGTCTCCTGAAGAAATTCTACAAGTTCTTCCATAGACAATTTCATTAGATGTTCTAAGAACAAATCAGAGAAATACAAATGCTGAGTCAACAGTTACTCAGGTTGAGACGGTAACGTATTCTATTCTGGTGCAGTATTTTTTAAAAAGGGCACAGCATACAACTTATGTAAACTGTACTGTAAACATCACTGATACTCAATTAAAATAAAAGTATTTTCTGATACCCAAGCAGTCACATCTACTCTTTGGGGAGAAAGGGAGAGGTGATTACTGCTAAATACCTTTTCATGGGTTTATTTAAGAACATCACACCTTAGACATTAATATTGACCCAGAGCAAGCACTTCTTAGAGAAACAGGCCACCCAAGATGACATGAGGGCTTTCTGTTTTACTGTTACAGAACTCCACCTCCCACAGGCAAACCTATTTCAAGTCTCTATATTTACGGTTTCAGAATTTCCAAAAAATCTGATTACTAACTTTATTTGTATTTCTACTTATGAAATTAGTTTTATTTAAAAAAATTCAGATTACAGGGGCACCTGGGTGGCTCAGTCGGTTAAGCATCTGCCTTCGGCTCAGGTCAAGATCCCGGGGTCCTAGATTCGAGCCCCACATCAGGCTCCCTGCTCAGGCGAGAGCCTGCTTCTCCCTCTCCCTTTGCCCGCCACTCTGCCTACTTGTGCTGTCAAATAAATAAATTAAATCTTAAAAAATAAAAAAAGAAAATTAAAAAACTTCAGATTACAGATACAAAGTAGAAAGCAAAAATCAGCTACGATCCCACTAGCCACTGCCCTACAAGTAGATGTGTGTACACACGTTATCAATTTAAAAAACTGATTATACTTTGAGTCCATCAGATATACTATAATGTACTATAACTCACTTATCAGTCTTCTAATACTGGACATTTAGGTTATTACTTTTTTTTTTTTTTACTGTTTAAAACCAGTGTGTGATAAACTTCCCGTAACAATGTCTCTAAATATTGTTAAAACAATCAGGAAAAAAACAAGAACAAAATCTTAGGAGCTTTAGCTAAACTCTTGGTTAAGGTGCCCAGACAGAGTTTTCGAAGCTTCATATGGCGGTGAAGAAACTTCATATAAGTCCTTGAGCTCTTGTCTTCCTGAGAAAAAACTACATAGCAGTAGACACATTTTTTCCAACAGCTATTTAGTGTGATGATATGATAGGATATAAAGTAGGTATTGTGCTTTAAAGTTTATTTGCAAAGGGTGAAGAAACTTTTCACTTGCCAAAATTAATCAAGGCTCATATAAATAAAACATAATTTAAGACGGAGAACAGAGCTATGGAGAAATACAACATCATGTTTCCACTTTCTTGCTGTTTAGTGAACATTAAACCAATATGCACATATTTTAATAGAAAGTATACTTTTGTTCCACATCTTGGTCAGTTCATAATCCAGAAAGAAAGGAAAGGCGGGAAGAGGAGAAGAGGGGCAGGGGAGGGAAAGAGAAGAGGAGGAGGTGGGGGGGTCAGGTGGGGGAGAGACAGAGACAGATTTCCTGCAGTTTTCAGACAGATCGTGAGTCTTGGGAGACAGTTCTCTGGATGCTGTGGTTTGCATGCTGGAGGAGTGAGGACTGGGTGTAAGGGAAATGAACCACAGCACTTCTGAATCCTTATCTTTAATACAGACTTGATTTTACAGGGAGTTTTCATTTCTCTCTAAAGTTTGGACAGTCCAAAGGCCTGCCTTTCAAGTAAGCAATCAAACAATTTTATATTAAAATACCTAACATGTACTTAGAGCAACGTCAAGCACAGCAGGAAAAAAACCTCACAAAACGTGACCCCCAACTACTCAATTAGCTTATAATTTAGTTGGGAAGCTGAACAGAAGATCATTCAAGAATAACCTAAGGGAGGAGAATGATCAGTGAATGTGGAACTACGTTGTAAGAGCTAGACTCCAAGTGCTCCATGAAGTTCTAAAGCTTTCAATGATTCTCCTCTCTGCAGAGTTACAAGACGACGGACTAGGAGGAGTTTTAATTTTAAAGACTGAACTGAGACTTTAAGATAATAAGGTTCTTCACATTCAAGAAGAAAACTCTCATTTCTTGATTTTTAAAGTAAGACACCACGTGCCAAATGTATAGAGCCCTTGAAGTACTGCAGCCGAATATTGCATTAACCCAACAAGTGACTGTACTTGCCCCAGAGGCCACAATGCAGTCAAGCAGAGAGATGAGCAGGAGGAGGTGCCCCATCTCTGGTCTACAGCTTGGATATGGGTGCTTTTGCCTGGATGGAGGAAACAGTGATGGAAAATATCTTCACCAGACTTCTGAACTAAGGGCCTGGTTTCTTTGGTCTCTCTCTTCTCTGATTACAAACCAGAAGTTCAGACTGATGAAAAGCAGTATTAGGAATAAGGAAACAAATACTTAGTAAGAATAATATTATTAGTGAAACCAACACATTGCTTTCTACTGCTTAAATGGGAAAATTAAACTGAAATAGAGAAAAAAAAAAATCAAAGACCTCTGCAATGTAATCAGCTTCTAGCCATGAGAAAGAACTGATGGAAGCCGATTACCACCTGAACATGATTTCTTCACTGACTTTCAAGAATTTTTTAAATCCACCACTAAAAGAAAATAAATCTGAAGTTGGGTGAGGAATGAGAAATCAGAGTTAAATCAAGCCTTGATCTTTGTGAAATCTTTATACTTAAACATTTTCTTACTTTTGTGTAATTTTAAGATTGTGTAAGACATAGCGGTAAGAACTCGTTCTCCTTCAAAGATGTAGATATCCCATATTCTGAGGTTTAGTGTAAAAGGAGTCTATAATTAAAAACAAAACAAGATAAGATTAACAGCTCACTCTTGTCTGGTACTTATAATTTTATGATTGGGTTTTGTAAAGAAATACTCACACGATCAAGGAAACATTGAAAAAACCATTTCATTGTGTAAAAACTTGTGTAGATTTCTTGAGAATCCTGAAAAAAAACAAAGACTTCAAATTTCTGGATTGCAGCAAATAAAATATGACAACCTAATACTAAAAGTTACGAAAGCTGTTGGAGGTAGCTGTCAAAGCTAAACATAACACCGTTTCATTCCAAATCTTTTGCATGCTGGAGTATTTCTAGTTTTTTCTCCTTACTTTCTTTCTCCCTCAATCTCACTTTTGGAAATCACCTTAAGAATAAATCCTTCTTCTATAGGATTGTAATATAACATCTTGATTCTCTATAATACATTTTACAGTGAAGTATCTCTGCTTCACTAAATTATCATGTTTCATAGTACAGCATGTCTATGGTTCACTAAGGACAGAGTTTGTATGACCCTTAAAGTATTTTTGGTGCAATAAAAAGGCCTCCAAAATTACCAAGAAATCACATATCGTTAAAAACTGCACCATTTGTATATCTCATCTGCAAAGAAGTGGTTTGATTTTATGAGTTAGGGCTGTGATGATTCATCAATACTAAATTCCACAAATCTCATGCTCTTCAAACACCTGGGAATTACAAATGCATAGTAAATGAAATGGACAACACCGCAAATCAATAAAGCAATTGGGACCAAAGGCTGCACTCAATTCTTCTAGGTTTATCCTTGGTGTAAGTGGGTGTTAAGTCAATGTCACATCTACCTACCAAGTGTTGCTTAAGCTTGGATAGAAATTTATTCAGTATTTTTTCATGATGTTCTTGAAACCTCAAGAGTTTAGGAAAACCTTGAACAAAAAAGCCTAGAATACAAACATAAAAACAGTATTTCATAAACAATAGCAACAAAAACCCCTTTCAAAATGCAACACATTTCTTTCATTTTTAACTGTCAGCAACAACAAAAATCCAGTAGTTACTAAGATACTTATCCTCCTCACCAAGGAAATAATTGTGTGTAAGCTCTGGGCAATGAAATTTGCAATCTAGTACCTGTTTGGTAAAGATCTCCTATAACCTTGTAAAAATATAAAAGAGGACAGAATATTTCTGAATTAAAAGGGAAATTTAGAAACCAAGAAAAAAATGAAAACTGAAGCCATTTATCAGGATTGTCTGTTCTCTTCAAGTATCTTAAAGCATATCTTAAATGCACAAATTTCTTATAAGTTATTCTAATCTTGAGGAATTATTTTGTTTTATTGTCAGTATGCTACATAACAAACATTTTATTCCTTTTTTCAGGTTTACTCTAAAAACTTCATTAGTATCATGCTTCCAAGGTTTTTATCACTTTTTAATCCCTTCTGTGATATCTGACATCAGCTAAGACATAATGACACTAATGATCAATGTTGTATCAGAAACTAGAGTTTATCCCATCTCATTATACAACAGAATCTCTAAGATTTCTAGGAAGAAACTAATTGTAAATGGTAAGTTAGTACTGATTTTGTGTATCTAACTCATAGAACTTTACATCTATTTTTATTTACAAGTTTCCTTTCAGATATTCTACACGATCCATTAAAAAGGTTATACACTCAACAGATTTATCATTTCTCCACATTAGTTATTTCCAACCTGGGTTTTATGTAATTTTGAAAGATGTTAATAGATGTCCTAAGTTTTTTAAAAAGAATCCAGGGGAAGTACTGTGTGCTCCACAAACCTTTCTGGCATATTCAGGATGCATAAGGGCTTCTCAATCTTTCTAACATGCTTTATAAACTAAAGAAACTTTGTGTGCTTGATTAACTCACTCTGCCAGACTTATTTGATCTTGGAGTCCCATTTTTTTCTCCCCACAAAAACACCTGCTTTCAAAAAGTGAAACTGCATTCCTCCAAGAACTCAAGCAACATACTTATGTGTAAAAATTTCCAGAGACAGAGATTCTATTCCTCCCATAGTAACATTTTCTGATGTCATAAAAAAATATGTATTGTCTATCTGTGCCACTTTGATGGTCAATTTGATAGGAATGGGAATTAGAAGAATTTCAAGAAAAAGTCTCATTTTGAAAAAGGCAATGCCCCTCAGTAATAAATACTAGCTCAAGGATGCTAAGATAATTAACATTACTTCACTTGTAGTGATATCCCAGACTTGGTATTTTAAAATCTCATTTTCTTCAGCCCTCACTTTATTCTGGACATTTATAAGTGACATCACTATCATGTAAAAGATGCAAAGAACTGAGGCAACCCTCAGTGATAAAATTCCATAGGCAGACTTACAAACAAGTATCTCTAAATACTAACTTATCCAAAATAATGACCTAACCTGCACAGTAAATGCAAATATTAGGATAGTAAAATTAATATTACTTTATAGATTAGACTGGTGACAACTGCTGAATGTAAGCTTATCAGGTGTGTTCAAAAGAAATGACTTTCCTAGACTTGGGCAGTTTTCCAAGTAATTAACGTACTACTGAAACTGTAACATCCCTTTGTACTTCAACACAGATCAGCAACACCATTTATTCCATGGTAAATCAAAATAAAGGTGGATGAGGGAGAGTTATTTTTCTTCAAGATGCCTTTTCAAAAGATACTGCTGGATGGCAGTTCGATATACTGCGTCTTACTTTTGGAGTCTATTGATGGGATGCAAAGTGTCCAGAAACAGTTATCATTAGTAGTAGTATTCATTTAAAAAATATTCACAAGGAAAAGTGAGGGAGATGACCAAATGTGCAACCACGGGGACACACACACACACACACACACACACACACACAAAATACCACCACAAAAACCACATGGTAAGAATGTGAGAATTAATAAACTATAGTCATAATTTTGAAAATGTTAAAATATCACTTTAAACACGTGACAGGTTCCTCACCACATAAAGCTTACTCACAAAAGGAACTTAGATGATCTATTCTTCAAGTGATTCATGTTAAAAATTTGTTTTTAATTTGGTATTATCACATGGATGGCACTGGGAAAATCATTTTGCATTAAATGGGCAAATGCCACTTTTATTTCCAAAAGAAGATGCAATCCAAACTCTAAAGTTTCTTGTATATGCTTGGCAGATATAAGGGAAAGGTTATTAAAAACAATCTCCTAACTTGTAAACCAAACGTTCATGCAAGTTTTGAGATATTAAATAATGAAATACCCACAACATGTTATCAGCAGCCTTTTATTGTAAAATGGAATCAATTTTACGGCTAAAAGAACCAAAACACACATTTCACTGAAATGAAAACTGCATGACAGTCTAAAAGTTTTAGTCAAAGGCATCTTTTATTTCTACCATTAATATAGCTTTCCTAAATTCCTCCAAACCTAAATTAGTTTCTTCTGACTGGGGGCAAGTAAGGAAGGAATCTCAAAATGCCAACAGTGTACCTTGAGGTAAACATAAAGGAATATAAATGTGAACAGAAAAGTTTAGCAAAGTTCAATAAAGGAGGAGATAAGAAATGACTCACAAACACTAATTGACTGAACAGCCCCAGACATTAAGTTTTTGTACTTAACCCTACCAAGCATCTTTCAAACTTTGAATTTAATTTACCTTTTTCTCCCTTCCTTGTTTATTGTTTTTGGTGAACTATATGGGTTTTCTTACCATGCATAGCATGTTTGGGGCCTGAGAATAGTTTGACCAGGGCCCAGAAGGCATCTTCTTCATTCATATACATAAGGAGCAAAGCTGTGATCTGGCTCATCCCCTGACAGTATCCAACTTCCTGAAGATAAATGAGAACAAAGAAACTGGGGATTTTAAGATCCAATTACATGCATACGCACATATAAAAACCTGCCCAACAAAATAATCAGAAAATGCTTAGACACATGAAATAATGGACAATTCTACAGATAAAGACTACAGCTTTACAACACTGAGCTATATACTATAAAAGAATAAATCTGTATTCAAAAATAAATGTAGAAGCATGGGCAAAGTGTCAAGCTACATGTATTTTTATTGTGCCCTATTCAATACCATTATACCTTCTGTAAAGAAAACTAAAAGTTTCTTTTTCCTTTGTATATATTATTCTCAGTTCAATATTCCTCCTCTTTGTTCAAATGCTGCCAAGTTTCTCTCCTTGTAACAGTTCCCAAGTTGCTGTCTTGTCTCCTTCTATAGTTCCCAAGTTGCTGTCTTGTCTCCTCTAGATTTCCTGGCCCTTACAGAGACACATTTTGGGATACCCAGCCAGTCTATGTCCCTTCTCTGAGAACTGCCTACTCTCCCTGTATTCCCTGCTAGTAATATGGCCTTAGAGGTTCATGTTTGTGCCATATGAACCAAAGCTGATGGAGCAGAAGAGGTCACTTGACCCCAGGGGAAGAGTTAATTGGCTGCACTGACTAATCACATACTCTCTCCAGGATATCTGTAATCAGATGGTGAGATGCATTTAAACAGAATGGTCATGTTGAGTCTGTGGGTGCAATTTAAGCCATGGGAAAACTGAAAAGTAGGCAAAGAAAGCAATTTGGAGAAACAGCAGAACAAGCAGTTTACAGAGATAATCAGTTACTGTGTGGCCCCAGAGCAGGAGACAGAAAGTGTAGTAGCTCTTTCTCAGTGAAGGCTTCTCACTTTCCAGCTCCAATTTCCATGAGGCCCAACTTTTACTTCCTTTCTACAAAAAAGGCCTTTAATAAACTCTTTTTTTAACTTGCCCTAGTTTGAAATTTCTTGTAACTTAAAGGTTTTAAGAGAAATTACACACCCAAGGTTCAAGGTTGTCCTCTCTAGAACCTAATCAATAAGCATTTAACATCCACATTAGGTTCAACACTAATTATCTTTCCCCAAATTATCATCTCCCCCGAGTGATAGATATGTTAAGAACAACATGTTCTATTACCAAAAAGTTTACTTGTAGCCTACTCCTAGGGTTAGCAAGTAGGTACACATGGTCTCCTGTTTGGCCCTCAATGAGTAAACAAAATGTGACCTTGAAACGCAAACTCCCAGGAGTGATGAAGGGTGAGCAAGGTTGAGCAAAAATTCATCTGCCCACCAAATTCCTAAACTTCTATCCCTGCTCATTCTCAGCACGACTGTGTAAAATAAAAATAAGACAAACAACACCACAACAGAACAATCCCAGAGAAAGAGGGTAAAATGAGAGATTCACTGGCATAAAGTGGTTTTTCCCATTTCTGAATCAGCTCTGTTCTAAGATCCCAAGGTCACCAGAGAAGCCTTGAAAAGATCCACAAAGGCAGGGGGTGCCCAAAGAGTTCCTCCTGTTCCTCAGAATACAACTCAAAGAGCCCTGAGTGGGTATGCTCCAACTTACCGTGTTATAAATAGAATATGCAGCAAGAACATGGAATAGGGACTGTTGCCTAGAGAAAAGAAAGTTTATATTGAATATATTTTGGTTATTTCACATATTTTTAAAATTATAAACAAAAAAAGAAAGTTTGCCTGAAAATAGATAATCTAGACAAAAGTACTACTGTAATAAATGATCCCAAGCTCAAATGTAAACAAATACTCTGTACAGTCTAAATTTAAGACTAGATGACATTCGTTCTTTTTTTTTTCTTAAAGGGGGTGGAGCAGCAGAGGGAGAGAGAGAATCTCAAGCAGGCTCCACACCCAGCAACAGAGCCCTATGAGAGGCTCGATCTCATGACCCCGATATCATGCCCTGAGCCAAAATCAAGAGTCGGACGTTTGACCAACAGAGCCACACAGGTGCCCCTGACATTCATTCTGATAGAATGTATACCAAAAAACAAAAATGGCTTCACAAAGGAGGGCAACTATTCTCACTATAAAATCATCCCCATAGGAGCAGCCAGCCTGATAGAACTATGGAGGCCCGGTGAAGCCTCAGTTACAGTGCAGGCTAGGTACAATACCTTGCAGGGCTGGCACATCCTCTGGGAGGCCATATATGTTCTCAATCAGCCACCAATATCTAGCGCTCTCTCTCCCACAGCCACGATGCTGGGGTCCAAGATTCAAGGGGCAGAAATGGGGATGACTCTACCCACTATTATCCCTAGTAGCCCACTAGCAAACGGTTTGCTTCCCATCCCATCAGCCTTAAGCTCTGCTGGTCTAGAAGTCCTAGTTCCAAAGGGAGAAATGTTTCCACCAGGAGACACGATGATTCCACTGAACTAGAAGTTGAGACTGCCACCCAATCACTTTGGGCTCCACGTCTCTCTGAATCAACAAGCAAAGAAGGTAACTGTACTGGTTGGAGCAACTGAGTTGCTACTACACAACAGATGTAAGGAAGAGTAGGACTAGAACACAGGAGAATACTTAGGGTGTCTCTTAGTATAGCCAAGCCTTGTGATTAAAGTCAATGGAAAACTACAGCAATCTAATTCAAGCAGGACTGCTCAAGGTCCAGAATTAAAATTTAGGTCACCCCACCAGGTTGAGAACCATGACCAGCTGAGGTCCTGTGGAGAGCAAAGGGAATATGAAATAGGTAGCGGAAACCAGCCATAACTATGTGCCTAGCCACAGAAATGATGACTATAGGGGTGCCTGGGTAGCTCAGTCGGTTAAGCGTCTGCCTTCAGCTCAGGTCATGATCCCAGGGTCTTGGAATCGAGCCCCACATCGGGCTCGCTGCTCAGCATGGAGCCTGCTTCTCCTTCTCCCTTTACTCCTCCCCCCCCCACCCCACTTGCTCTCTCTCCTGCCCTCTCTCAAATAAATAAATAAAATCTTGAAAGAAAGAAAGAAAGAAAGAAAGAAAGAAAGAAAGAAAGAAAGAAAGAAGAAAGAAAGAAAGAAAGAAAGAAAGAAAGAAAGAAAGAAAAAGAAAGAAAGAAAGAAAAAGATAGATTATAATTGTTCTGAGCATTTTTTCCTTATTTTGGTATATGTGTTTATATATATTTAAAAATATTTTTGTTTTCCTCCTTCCTTTTCCCTTTTCATCTAACATATTAGCTATATTAGACAGATATATATATATATTTTTAAAGATTTTATTTATTTATTTGACAGAGAAAGACACAGTGAGAGAGGGAACACAAACGGGGAGTGGGAGAAGGAGAAGCAGACTCCCTGCGGAGCAGGGAGCCCGATGCAGGACTCGATCCCGGGACTCCAGGATCATGACCTGAGCCGAAGGCAGTTGCTTAACCAACTGAGCCACCCAGGCGCCCTAGACAGATATATTATTAACAGTTTATTTTATATTGTGGTATTTAGGTTATAGAATGTCAAAGCAAAAGAGTAAACATTACCAAGGACTTCGCATCCTCTTGGGGGGAAAGGGTTAGACTAGTTTCAGTCCTAGGCAAAAGAGTTCTATCATGTTAGGTGAAGTATGACCTTGTATTACCTGTATTTGGAAACTGAGTTGACAAGGATGTACTCTAACGGTCAGTACACCACTGATGTCACTCACCTTGGCTAGGCTACAACCCCCAATTATTCAAAAGCTAATCTACATGTTGCTGTAAAAAAGGCATTTTTTAGATGTGATTAAAGTCCATAAGCAGTTGACTTTAAGTAGGGGAGATGATCCTAGATAATCTTGGTGGGCCTGATTCAATCGAGTGAAAGGTTGTAAGAGCAGATGTGAGGCCTCCCTGAAGAAGCTCCTCCTGTGGACAGCAGCTCCGCTTGTGCTCAGGAGTTCTGGACTGTCTCTGCTGGTGGCCTGCCCTCCAGATACGGGACCTGCCTAGTCAGCCCCCACTACAAGCCAATTCCTCTCAACAAATCTCTGAATACACGTCTCTTACTGGTTTCCGTTTCTCCTGTTGAACTCAGCCGATACAGAGTTCAGCAAAACTCTCATTCGTAAACTGTAATACTCATTTCAGTCATTCATTCCTCATTTGTTTTAGTTTCAGCTATGCACTGGGGTCAAGTTTATAGGGATCTATTTGTCGCTGACATAGTTTTCAAAAAGTAACACAATCTCCCATTTCTTTACTAAGATTTTAATAAAAGTAGCTACTACATTTTTAAGAATTCCCAGATCATAAAATGACTCTTTACCAACCGAATAGCATCTACTACGTCAAAGGTTAAAAAATTTAAGGGAGCCTAGATCCTAGGTTTCACACAACACGGACCAAACGATCTGCAAAAGCTTAAACCTTTAGGACCTGCATCAAAATTATGGTTCATACAAGACATTCTACTCACTCATGTTTTAAGTTAACAAAGACTTTAATAAACACTCTTTATAAATGCTATTTACATTTCATAACATTAATGTTTACTTACTTAACACCGTATCTGTCTCTAAACATAATATGGTCCCTAAATGTGCGGTTGACATCAAGGTCTATTTGTCTGATATCAGGTGAACAACCCCGTGCTCTGTGTTTTAATTTCTGAAGAGAAAAAAAGGGGGGAAGAAAGCACATTTTTATGGAAATCAGTTGTTGAAGACAATTCTCATTAAAATAATAAATCATAAAGTAATTATCATTAAAAAACTGTTTTGGTTTAGGAAAAGCACACCTGTGGTTCACCAACGAATGTGAAAAGGCACACAATGAAGAGCTTCCCTCCCACCAATGCCCCAACTCTCCCACACCCATCCTTTCCTTCCTCCCGCCACCTTCCCCCCCCCATCTTAACAATACAGTTAGATTCTAATTTGGAATGAAGCACTTTTCGGAGTCTGCCTTGCTAATAAGACTACGTAAAAGCTCTTCACAGTTGAGCCACACAGTCCGCTAGGATTTCTTTTTTCTTTCCAACACAATATTTTTGTTTTCCTTCGAGCTAATCATTGCCTTGTTTCTTGATTTGCTTCATTTTCTACATGCTTGTTGCTAATCCAATCCCAAACTCACTTTAAACTGCATCCATCTCCTCTGGTGCTGTCGCAATGGAAAAGGTAATCTCCGATTTCAACTTCGTGTAGATGTCTCTCCAGAGCCTTCAACCCTGCTCCAGCCTTGGGCTCCTGGACCTCTTAGCCTGCTGCACAGCTAGGGTCTTGGGGTCCCCCTTCACCCGCGGCTAGGCCTTCCTTCGCTTGGGTCTCCTGTTCCCTGGGTCTCATGTCTTCTTTCTTGGTTTATTCCCTTGTTCTGGAGGAGCACATCCTCCAGTAGCTCCTGTGGAAGGGTGTATGGAAGATAAATTGTTTTGAAAACTTCAGAAGTCTGATATTACCTCCTTCTTATTTAACTGTTGGGCTGTTTTAGAATTCTAAATTGGAAAATATTTTTGCTCACAAGGCATTGCCTTTACTGTCTTCTAGTTTCCAGTGTTGCCGCTCTAATTCTGGTTTCTTTGTATGAAATCTGCTTTTTCTCTAGAAGCTCGTAGGCATTTTTCTCTCCATGTCCTGAAACTTTACATTTCTGTGCTTGATTTGCATCTATTTTTATCCACAGGGTTGGGCACTTGATGGGTCTTTTCAATCTTATAAACTCGGACTCACGTCTCTCAGTTCTGAGTGATTTCTTCAGTAATTCCTTTGTCGATTTCCTCATCCCTCCCACCTGCATTCCCATTTTCTCTTCCTGGAACTCTTACTATTAGAGTGTGGAATCTCCGGCTGTCATTTAACTTTCTTATATTTTCTGTATTATTTCCCATTTCTTTGAATTTATCATCTACTTTCTGGGAAATTCCTTCAATTGTTACTCTCAAACCTTCTCTCAAATCTTTCAGTTCTATTATAATTTTTTATGATTAATAAGCTCTTTGTTGTTCTCAAAGGTTCTTTTTTATAGGCTTCTATACTTGCTTTATGGATGTAATATCTATTTTGATCCCTCTGAAGATACTTGTGATCGTTTTTTTAAGTTTTCTTCTTGCTGCTCTATAGTCTGTTTCTTACACGTTTCTTTTTTCCATTTGTTCTCGTGTATCTTTAATGTTAGCTCCTTTCCTCAAGGAAACAGTGGTATTTCGTTGTCTGCTTATATTTAAAAGTAGAACACTAAAAAGCTGACGGCAAGCTCTGTGTGCAGAGGTGGGGCTTCACGACTGTCTCTCCACTGCAGAATGATCTGGCTGGGCAGTTTCCCTGAAGTCAGTATCTCTGGGTTTATGTCCTTAGGCTGGGCAGATTCCTCAGAGAAGTCTCTTCTGGTCTCTGGTCAGGAAGATAAGCACCTGGCCGCCAATGTGCTGGGAGCAGCATGGGAAGGAGGCCAGGATGCCCCCAGCTCAGGACATGCAGTTCCTCTGTGCCATCTCTTCGCCCCCCCTGCCCCACCCCTCAGGACCATGGGTCCTCTCCGGTCCAGAGGCCCTCTGGTTCATTCTCTCCAAATGGTAAACCTTGGACCCGTGGCCAGGGTGGGAGGGGGACGTCGAGGATCTAACTGCTTCTGTGACGGACTCTGGACAACTTCCACAGTTCTGAGCTTCACCGCCACTCCCAGAGGCACCTGCAGCTGACAATTAGCAAGCCTTCTGGAGATTCTGAGATCGAAATCAGCCAGCCCGGGCTTCCATTTTCTCGGGTTTGCTGAGTTTAGTAAATGTCTGTCTGGTTTCCAGACACTGGCAGCCACTCTCTCTCCTATTTCTTACTCCTTGTGGGCTTTTGCCTTTACAAAAATTCCCTGCTGTCAGTTTCATGGCATTTCGGGGTAAGGGAGCTGAGTGAGGATATTTAATCTCCCAAGTTGAACTAGATAAGAGATTAAAATTTATATTAATCTACACTTAACCACACTAATGTATAATTATGCATTTATATACATATATTATACTGACTCGTTTACCATGTACTGGTGATACAGATCTCTGCCTGAATCAACTCCAATAAATACATATGAAAATATAACTGCTAATTCCTGACTTCAGCTAAAAGTAGAAAGAAGTAGGCTATCTGGAATATGTGTGTATGTGTCAAGTGTTTTGTGACTACATGTACTCTCTATGTTTTGAGGCAGGAGCTCAGACAAGGGCAGCTTCTGTAGCTTTTAAAATCATGAAGAGTAACAAGAGTATACTTCAGAGTCCTAAATACACAGGGAGATATTTATAGTATTGTATTAAAATCACACGACCACTAAAATATTACTGTACACTATCCCTGATAAAAGTTGATCCAGAAGATATTACCAAAATTTAGTTTAAAAATGGTAATCTGTTCATATTTGTTCTTTCTTTTTTTTTAAAGGTAATGGGCAAGTAAAGAGGTTTCAATGATTGTTCTACAAGTCTCCTGGTAAAAAAATGAGATGTCAAAACACAGAAAGAAAATGTTTTGACAGGACATGATAAAATGTGCTTTACAATAAAATTTAGTTCAAAGGCAGAAAATCACCCAAATACATCTATAGTATCAGTTTCTCTAGAGGAAAAGAAAATCCAACACAAAAAGGCCTCAAGACAGAAACAAATTTCAGTTAGTAGGTAAAAAATAGTAGGTCAGAAAGATTAGGTCCTAGAATATTTACAAACAAATGTACAGAATACAGGAAATCAAGCATATTTCTTATCTTAGTGCAAGGAGGTAAATAAAGCAGCTTCTACAGTTATCTCTGAGATTGGGTGGGCTGAGACCCATGAGTGTCACAATAATACAAGAATATATATTTTATTTAAAAGAAACAGGATCTAATGAACCTATAAACCTGAAGTGGAGGTACAGTGGAAAGCATTTGTGGAATGCTGGAAAGATCCACAATATCGCAGTGTGTTTGGCTAACAAGATTATGAAGCCCCAGGAAGGCTGTAGGTGAGGCTGTTAACCATGATGGACTGAACTTCTGCCATGTGTGAGATCTAGCACGACACACAAGAGAGATAAATGACACTGAGGTACACCTAAAAGAACAGGAGGAAGAGGTAGATGAGGGCGCCAGCTCAGGCACCAGCAAGTCTCACCCACCAGAGAAAAATCTTAATAGTTCTATTCCTCCTGAAGTTCCAACCTGAACAGAGCAACTCATACCATCTTTGGAGAGAGAGAGTAAGAAAGAGTGGGAAAGAAGGACCATCAAATAATGGCGCCGGGAAAACTCAAAGAATAAAAAAATTAAAAAAAATTTTTTTTCCATCATAGTGTTAGAAAAAATAACCTTGAAAGTACTGGAAGGCAAGTCATTTCTTTTGTTTTTGTTATTTGTATGCCTGGCATTTACTAAATAGATCTCTCATGTTAATCAGTGCCTGGATCATTTTATTCTATGTAGAAAAGGTCTAAAAGATCGTTGAAAGCACAGTTCTGCTATTAGAATGTGTGCTGGATTGAATAGTGCCCCTTCTCCAAGCTCACATCTACCCAGAACCTGTGAATGGACCTGATTTGGAAATAGGGTCTTTGCAGATGTAACTGACTGAAGACGAGATCATGCTGGATTAGGGTGGACCCCAAGTCCAGTAACCTGCGTCCTTATCAGGTCAGACACACAGACACACAGACACACACAGGGAGAAGGTCGTGTGAAGAGGGAGGCAGAGAGCTGACTGAGGCAGCTGCAAGCCCTGGAATGGCGTTGGCAATGCCCGAAGCCAGGAAGGGGCGAGGAAGGACTCTCCCCCAAGCCTTGAGACGAACCAGGGTCCTGCAGACACCCTGGTATCAGGCCACTAGCTTCCAGAGGTGTGAGAGAAGACACCCTGCTGTCTGCAGCCACTCCGTTTGTGGCACTTCATGGCAGCCCGAGGAAACAAAGACAGCATGCTAAAGAAAAATAACTGTCTCCTCTCATTAATTAAACAAGAATTTAATGGGCACCTACCATATACCGGCACGCTGTACTAGGTGCTGGGGCTAGATTTTATATGTTTTCTCAGACACCATTTTCAATACTGGCTCTAAAACCATGATACTAAAAGCAAATATCTAATCAACAGACTAAAATAATTTGAAACTCTAAAACCCTAAGACATAAACTCATAGTCTGTGTAGGGCCCAAACAGCTAATTTAAAAAATCTTTTAGACACACAAAAAGTAACTCTTTAAATTAACCAGTATTTATTATCTTTCATCTTGATACAACATTATATACACACACAAACACATTATTTGAAAAAGAAAAGAAAATATCAAGAGTATTCCAAGGCTCCTTTTATAATTGGTATTGGGTTTAAATTATAAATAATTGTTCTTTTATCCATTTTATTCTATTTATATACATTTTCTGAGGAACATATTTCAAAAAGATTTTTAGATAATCATTCCTTTCAAATGTTAATATAAACTTTAGATTTAGAAAGGGTATAGCTGAGATGACAAGGAGGTAAATGTAATGTATTAACTAATTTAAGGAAAGCACTATGGATCACGGAGTCAAAAGTTTGACTTTTGATTAACAAATAACAAAACCTAGAGATCCCTACTAGTCTTGGAGAAAAATTCTTTTCTCACACCCAGAAGAAAATAGTCAAGCACACACAGGCAGCTGTTGGATAAACTGAATCCCACTGCTGTTTTCCTACAAAGTCTAGAAAGGACACTGTAGATCTCTTTATTAACACTACACTGCATATGAGCAGTTACAATCAGGTGTTAGTCAATTTTCCTCATGAATACGCCCCAACACTGTTCTTTTCAAATATGTGAAAAGCACTGGATACTTACTGACTGATACAGAAAATAACATTTTCCCTGAAGTATTTGTTCGCAAGTTAGGAAGTAGATTGCACTAAACCAAACAATCAGGAAAATAGGCTTATACAACTCAATGTAGTATCATGTTAATATAACTTCAAATGATACGAATATCTTACATCACCTTGAAAGTGAAAAGAAATAGGTTTTACTTTTCAATTTCAAAATAACAAGTTAGCTTTAAATACTCACAGTATAGAGGTCTCTTGTTTCTTCTTTCATTTTAGGGATCTCCAGAAGCAGAGCCCAGACTTCACCTCTGAGCTGGAGTGGGATTCCTTTGTAAATTCTCCTATGAAACTTATTGAAAGAAACAAATTGAAGGTTATAAATGACAAAAATCTAAGACTGACCCCTCAAATCAAACTAATTAATATTTGTTGGTCCTTTATTTTCAAAGTATCCATGACAACTGATACATTTTGACATGGCACACTTGGATCCCATCATCTCTACTTTTCAAATCCTAGCAGGGAGGCCTATACACAGGAAGGCAGAATACACAAAGATGAAAATGTTAAGTACGCCTAGTACATTGGTATTTTCATACCATTACGAAGGTGCTTCTCATGCAGCATGAAAGCATAATCAGTGCTCTTTTTTAAGGTGTGAACATCTAATTTACACATTCCCTGTTGATATCATCAACTAGTTACATACTTTCTTCCTTTTCCCCCCATACATCTAAAAGGCCCCAAATAGCAAAAAGATTGCCTTGTGCCCAAAGTGTTTTCATGGAGTGGAGAGAATACTGTAAGCCCTAATATCTTTTCCTGCAGCATCTTCTCTCTGGGGCTTTCCAGAACCTATCAACATAACATATCCTGTCTAGCTCATAACTCAGCTAATGCCACCCGCAATCTTCAGTTTTCCTCCCACCTCCAACCACCCTGTGCCTCCCTCCCTCCCCTCCATGCCTCCACCCCACACTCCCGCTTTCCTCTCCTCTTTTTGATTTTGGCAGTTCTCCAGGAATAACCTGTCATCACTTTTGAATGAGATAAGGAATAAATCATCAGTTTGTCAACTCTTTAGGTCCTTATACGCTGTCACTCTGAATCCTAAGACTTCATCTACTTCTCCATCTTCCCATAATTGTATCTTTTTTCTTCAAAGCTAATTATTCAAAGTAACATACAAATCTATTATGGTCATTACAAAGTTGTGCATAATAAAACTTTGAAACTTAAAAGAAAATGCCCAAACAAGGAAATGACTAAACAAATTATGGCAGAAACCTTAGGGAGTGAGGTAAGAATAGGTACACAATTACCTTTATGATCAAAATAATATATTTTAATAGTATGGCTAAGAAAATAGGATGTAAGTTCTAATAATTGAAATGCTGACAAGTTATGAGTTAAGAAGCAGAGTTTCAATTACTGCTATATACTACTTCACTTTTTTAAACTAAAGCTAAGTCATGATGTAGCTTTATAAAAATGATGATGTGGCTTAGAATGAGTAACAATGTAGAACAACTTTTACTGTGAAATAGTGGATATTGTGAAGTTGATTCAATTAGATAATTCCATAAGGAGTTTCAGCTTTGTTCTTTTGGTATAAACATACTATGCCTCAAATTTGAAATCTTAGTAGATAGTGATTAGAATCCTGGAAGTTTTTTAACTCATGCAGTAGCTCTAACTGGAAGAATATATACAGAAAGTTCTGTGTAAAACAGACTCTGCTACTTGCAACATTTCCCACATATTAAACATTTACCACCTTTAACTGCAAACTGAGTGTGGTTTTTAAAAAAATGAATTTACGATTTATCTTCCTAAAGAAAGTTTGTCATCTACATTCATTCCAAAGTCGTAATATTTACCATTATGCTTTTTTTTTTTTTAAAGATTTTATTTATTTATTTGACAGAGAGAGAGACTGCGAGAGAGGGAACACAAGCAGGGGGAGTGGGAGAGGGAGAAACAGGCTTCCCGCCGAGCAGGGAGCCCGATGTAGGGCTCGATCCCAGGACCCCAGGATCATGACCTGAGCCAAAGGCAGGCACTTAACGACTGAGCCACCAAGGTGCCCTACCATTATACTTTTTAAAGGAGTATCACCCACGAAAAGTATTTTCAAATTATCTCCTAAACTTTTAAAGTAAAGATGCTGTACTATAAGCATCTAATATGAATATAGGAAGGTGTGGAAACTACCACAAATGTGAAAAGTGAAAGTTTAATAGCCAAGTAGAATATGATGGCAGGTAAGCAGATTAACTTTGATGGATGTGAATCTCCATTAGGCTGATGTTTTCAATGAGTAAAACGAGAGTCCTGACATGTATTTCTCAAACTCTATTACTTGAAAAGACTTCAGACATTATTTTATTGCTTTCATCCAATTCTGTATTCAACAACTATACATAAATGTCTATTTTTCATCTTAAAGTGAGTAAATTTTTTAAAAAATCAAATTATCATGATTATATTAAGAAGAAATAACAGGGGCACTTGGGTGGCTCAGTCGGTTAAGCGTCTACCTTCAGTTCAGGTCATGATCCTAGCTAGGGTCCTGGGATCAAGTCCCCCATTGGGCTCCCTGCTCAGCGGGAAGCCTGTCCCTCTGCTTGCCACTCCCCCTGCTTTTTGTGTTCTCTGTCAAATAAATAAATAAAATCTTAAAAAAAAATAATAGAGAAATTCAGGTAGAAAGCAAAAATTAATGGACCAGTGCTAGTCCAGGGCTAAAATGAAAAATGAGGCACAACTTCTACTGAGCATTTACTATATGCAAGAAACTATTTTAAACTAAAAATAGATGTTTCTCTCATTTAATCACATCAACAATTCCATGAGATTTTATTATCCCAATTTTACAGATGGTATAAGTGAATCACAAAAAAGTTAAGTAATGTGCCCAAGGCACACACAAGATGTCACCATCTTTCAGCAAAAGATATTTATTTTACATTTTATAAAAAACAAAGACCATCTTTCCAAGATCATTTTGCATGTAGCTAGTACCCACTGTTCTGCTCAAGTGAACTTACTAAAATACACAGATCAGAAAATATTAAGGGAATCCAAGAGCAGAAAGCATTAAAATGATAATGAAACTGTATTTAAAAGGTAAGCATAACATACAGAGTTGTCAAATCATTATGCTGTACACCCAAAATTAATGTAACACTATGTGTCAACTCTACTTCAATTTAAAAAAAAGGGAATATAAAAAGGGATGTATCTGGAATTCAGCTTTAGGAGGTACACAAAGTCACATATACCAGAAAAAGGATTAAATTATGAGATCCTAAAATAAGAATTTTAAATTATGAAAAAAAATAAATTATGCCTATTTGTTTTTCAAATACTCACAACTCTTATATGACAGATTGACATTATGGTAACATAATTTTCACAAATTTTTACCTATCATAGAAATTTTAGAAATTTTGTAAAACAAAGTAGGAATTATATCAAGTATGACAGATACAAATAAAATTTGCTTATTCTCCAGACAGTGTCCAGTTTACATTTGTTGAGAATCCTTCAACTGACAAAGTAATATCTCATATTTTCTATGAGAGTCTGTAATGTAGGCAAAGCAAGTGCTACTCCACCTTAAATGCTGGGAGACCAGGGCACAGAGAAGTGGCTTGCCTAGGTCAAAGAATTTTGCCTTCTTAGTCCTATTTCAGGGCACTTCTGCCAAATCCCACTGCCTCTTAAGAGATTACAGCTAAAAAAGACTTCAGCAGCAGCAGGTGATAGCTGTTTATTCCAACTCATAAATGAACATCATCACTCATTCTAAAAAGCAACTACGTAATGACTGCGGGTTTTGTGGCCAACACTTATTAGGTAGGTGCTCTGGCTATAAACATGAAAAAGTTCTGTGGAGCTCACAGTAGCAGGGAAGATCTATGTGTAAGCAGATACACTGATACCATAAACTGATATCCCTTTATTATAAAATACTCCTTGCTACAGAGCTGAGCGTCACACCCTGATAGGAGAAGTCGTGACAGAGACAGACTCCCCAGAGGGGGCCAGAGTGGGAAAAGGAGAACAGTAGGCACTATACTGTCTAAATGTGCAGGAGCTGTTAGCCCTTATGTCATAGGACACAAAAGATTGGAGGGGAAAACCAGAAAAAGTTGAGGAATAAAGATGCTGGGGTGAGGGCAGTGAATGTGGTGGCTACTTCTTATTGGTCCAACACAGAAACTCTCACCTTGAGACTGTATGAGAAATATTGTATCAGAGGAAGGGAGGAATGAATTTTACATTACAGAGTTAGGGAAGATCAATACTAAGGATCCACATGGATTTGCCAGGAAGGGGAAATGAGGAGATGAGGGTGAGGAAAATAAATGAATCTAGTAATAATGACTTTAGTAATATAGTTATGCTAACATTTTCTGATTATTTATTAGGAGCCAGTATATGTGTTTCTATGTCAACTTATTCCTTGTAATACTATCGCATTCCCTTTTCTTTTTTTAATATTTTATTTATTTATTTGCCAGGGAGAGAGAGTACACAAGCAGGGGGAGTGGCAGAGGGAGAAACAGGCTCCCAGCCGAGCAAGGAGGCTGTACTATCACATTCCTAAAGAGGAACATGCTATTATTATCATCCCCATTTTACGGATGAGAAAATGAAGATGTGGAAAAATAACTACCTCCAAACCATACAACTAATAAACTGTAGAAGAACTGAAATTCAGTTAGTCTGACTTCAGAGACCACAGTTTCTGGTTTTGTTTTTAAGATTTATTTATCTGAGAGAGAGAGAGAGCATGAGTGGGAGACAGAGAGAGAGAATCTCAAGGAGACCCCCATGCTGCTCATGGAGGCTGACATGGCACTCGATCTCACAACCTGACCTGAAACCAAGAGCTGGACTCTTTACCGACTTGACTACCCAGGTGCCCCCAGACACCAGAGTTTTAACAATCATGATATAGAATGTATGTTGGATTTAAGATATAATATTTAATAATATTCCAAGTTAAAAAGTACTACCTTTAAAAATCCTGTTAGAAATTTATTTTATGGATATGATACATAAAATCTTTAAGGAAAAATAAATGAAGGTTCCCTGAAATCCACCTTTTGCTTTCAGTATCTTTGTTCCCTTGCCAACAGAATCAAGTAGTCTATTTCAGTCACAAAGATATATTTAAACATCCATCAACTAAAAAACAATTCCACTGACTGACCTAACATTTTCAATACCTCTTTCTAACCTTAGTGATTTCAAAATAGTGATGAATGCACCAGTCCACATCACACACTGGCCAGTAGCCAACTTTGTAGCCCACCCAGCAGGGCTCCATTTGGGGGACTTGCAACACTCCAAGTGTATTACCATGAAACAAGAGTTCATGCTGAGCTGCTTATCTCTTTACTGTCTCTCCGTTTTCTTAAAGCATCCCTGCTCCATTATAACTCCTTCATCTCTGCCTCCGATAGGCATGAGTCCCCCACGGCCAGATCTAAAAAAGTTTTAAACCATACACAAGGCCCTATTGGCTCTTATAACTACATTCTATTTCCTTCTGACTTTTTATTGACAAACACCAAAAGGGAAAGCAAACATGAAAGATGGTACGGTAAACGAGCCCTTGAGTGTGGGCATGGGATCTCCTGCTGCAACGAACAAGCTGTGTGACCTTGAGAAATTTATTTATAAACTTGGTGCCTCCATTCTCCCATCAGTAAAATAAAACGCTAACTAATATAAGGTCCATTCAGTTACTTGACTAAAAAAAAAAAAAGGAAAAAAGTGTATCTGTCGTAGGTACTCTGCTGTGACATAGCTTAGGCACAATTACATCATGACTAATTAAATCATAATGTCTCCAGCTAACAGAGATGACTTCATTTAATAGAGTATATTTTTTAAACTCAGTACTACTGAACCAGGCACCGTGAGAACTGTGAGACACACAGGCAACACAAACAACCTTAATGGAAACTGCCTTTCATTAAAGCTTGGGTTCTAAAGATCCAAATATTCTCTATCACAGCTATATTTTAATTTCAAGACACTTGCAGAAATTTCTTTGTGTTACCATTATGTAAGTAAGGAATCTGTGGAGAGAAAACTTCACCTCCTCTTGAAAGAGAAGAAAAACACATGCTACGTTTTTTTTTTGCCTCAGTGCAATTTAAAATGAGATATGAACTGAAAGCAGCAATTCTTTTAGAAAGTACATTCTGTTGCACACCAAATTGGACCATATATATTATCAAATAATTCCAGCATTATAGTTGTGGGAAAGTGCTTTAAAATTATACATCAAAGAAACAGTTCTGTTCAAATCTCTCTTGCTAGGAACTACATTAGTCAGACATGCTGTCAGAATAATGGCCTGGTAGAATTGCTCATTTTTACACTGGCTTACATACTTTCATAGATCTATGTATACTCAAGGAGAACACAAAGCCGTATAATTCTACAAATATCTTATTAGACCAAATGTTGAGATGAAAGTGTAAGTGCCGCTGCATCAACATTTACCCTGTAATTACCACTTGAGCAATCTTCCCACAGACATGAGGTAAAGTAGGTGCCAACTTTAGGCCACTCTGCATAACTAACATTCTACTTTGAACTGATTCCTTTCAAAACTGATTCCTCTCATTCTACTTTGAACTGATTCCTCTCAAAAGAACATCTTGAGTTCCAACCTAATGCTAAAACACACAATAAAATCAACAACCCCAAAATGAGCTAACTCCTGATGAAAATAAAATAATAAAAGAGTCTAACAGACTTTAAATAAGGGTACTTAGGATGCTCAAAAAGAAAAGGGGCATTAGTCCTGCAAGATGCTCTATGACAAAAAGATTTCCACAGTCGAGTAAGTTTCAGTCAGTTTAAGGTCCGTCTTGAAGGTGTGGTCCCTCGACCACGTGTTATAATAGTAAAGTCTCTGAGGAGTCCTGTAGTAAAGGACTTAACTTTGCTTCTCTTGGGTTAGCTCTGATATTCCCAACTTTATTTCAAGAAAGCCCCTTTCTCTTTAAAAAAAAAAAAAAAAAACTTCCACCACCATGAACTTCGCAGCTCCCCAATGTTTAAAGATTTTTGTGATGAGGCTGGTGGTGACAGTAATAGATGTGTATGTTATGTTTTAATTGGTTTAAAACTCAGCACCAACTCTGCAGGGCAAAAACATTTAAGGGGAGGTTTGCTAGAAGGTTTTGGAAAGATTGTTCCTGCTTCAGGGAAAGCTGCCAAGGCCAGCCCTCCTCCTGAGCAGTGTGACGTGTGGGTGTGAAGCCCGGAGCTGCAGCACGGGTTCTGACCCCAGAGGGAAACCAACCCCAAGGGAAAGCTGGCACTGCAGAAGGCAGAGCAGAGACAGGAAACGAAACTAAGGCACAGGCAACGCAATGGAGCAGCTGAAGCAAATCACTCCTGAAACCATCCTCCCTCGGGACTACCCGGAACAGCCTCTAAACTGCTGAAACCTATCTGTATTGGATATTCTGTTAGGACACAAAGACTCCTAATTTGAGGCATCCCAACTAAATTAAAGTTTTTTTTTTTTTTAAGATTTTATTTATTTATTTGACACAGAGAGAGAGTTAGCGAGAGCAGGAACACAAGTGGGGGAGCGGGAGAGGGAGAAGCAGGCTTCCCGCCGAGCAGGGAGCCCGATGCGGGGCTCGATCCCAGGACCCCAGGATCATGACCTGAACTGCAGGCAGACGCTTAACGTCTGAGCCACTCAGGCGCCCCTAAATTAAAGTATTAATATACTTCCATAACTTAAGAGAAACTTTTATCGGGAAAATTCACATTGAATTTGTGTAGTTTCAGATAGAAGTAACATTTTAATTACCTTTTCAGTGTTCTTGTATTTTTCCCATCCTTTTAGCATTTTCAACCACTTAGTAGTTCTTTCAATTTCCAGTTGCTTTTGCTAAAATAAAATTGAAATTCATTGTTACTGTTTGAGTCTTCCATACTTACAAATTACAAAAAAAAGTCAAAGAAAATGCTGCTAAAAAAAAAAAAAAAAAAAAACACTAAAACAGTTAAGCTCTTAGATAAGCAAATACACTATCTAACTTTAAAAACTTAGATAAGTGATTATAGTTGTAGCAATAGTATTCCATAGCCGAAGTTAAGATACATGGGAGATGCTCCAATGGGACAGGTAAAGAGAAAGGAATTGTTTAAATTTTCCAATGTTTTTAAACTAATCACTGAAAACCCTATGTATTCTACAAAATTAAACCAAAAGGCAGTTCTAAAATATTTTGCAATATTTTTAAAGCAGCCACAAAAAAAAACTTCAAAATTCCATTCTCTTCTTTTATATTTTACTGAATTCTAGCATCCTAATGTTTTCAATGATGGAGATGATTCTTTATAAAGGAGAACTGGGTATTTATTTGTGGAGAGATTAATATCTAACTAGCAATTTGTTAGTGAAAAATTTATCCAAAAGTAAGTAAAAGTTGCTGCCCTGAAGAAAGTTCAGGGCAAGTCAGGGCAACTGTCGTGGACATGGATGGTACTGTGACAGGTATGACAACATACGGTCAGAAAAGGTGACCACAAGGTCACAATGGAAGAAGCAGTCAAATCCACCTAGAAATGTTAAAGAAGGTAAGCCCTAAATGAAGAATTGAAAGATTATTAGGATTTTTATCAAGTGCAACGTGGGACTGAATATTCCACGAAGCACGGATAAATGTCGTTCTGAGACGGTGCAGCACCGCGGGCGGCCGACAGTAGTTCTAAAAGGCTAAAAAAGGAAGCATCAGGAGATGAGGCTGAAAATATAGGCAGGGGTCTTGGATGTCACACCAAATCGGAATTGGAGCAAAGCTGGGGAATGGGAAAGGTGGTACAGATAATGCTTCTTCCTCCCTTCTTTGGTTTCCAGGAGAAGGGATGTTTTTTCCTAATTATTCGGGCCTGCTGTCCAATCTCTTATTCACTCATAAGGTGGTAAAGCGACTTAATTAGTAAGTTTAGAAAAAGATCTGGGCATGTACAGCTCCTCTGTCCCTTTTCTGTGGAAGCCTAAACCCTCAGAAGGCACATTTGTACTCCATCCTTTCAGACAGGGAGAAACACCCTTCTCAGCCAAGAAGTCAGCAGTGATCTGCCTGTCTGTGACCAGGTGGTAGGACTGTCTCCTACCTGGCTTCCGAGTTAGGGAGCCCACAGCTGCTGCACGCCTAACCTGCATTCTCCCTTAACACCTCTGCGCCTCATGAAGGCGGAGACGTGTGCGGTTTCCCCAGTCCCCGGCACAGAGCAGGCACCTATTTCATTTTCAGGAAAAGAGCCCAATGTGATCGTTTCTTATGAGTGAGCTGAGATTCCGCTATTTTGTTAATTCCCAAAGCCCACATTTTCTTTTCTGGAGGCCTCTGTAAGTGTAATAGGTTTATGAATCAAAAGCACAGGAAATGAAAGACTAGACAGCAAAGAAAACAGTTCTGAAGATTTACTCTGTGCTCAAAACAGTGTGCTCATTACAACCCTGTGAGGTACGTATAATCATCCCTATTTTACAAATAAGGAAACAGCGGCACAAGGCAGTCTAATGGCTTTCAGATTCCCTATGCAGTAAATTCAAGTGTGAAGAGCGGTTCACAACCGGGCAGCTAGGCTTCAGGACCTGCCCTCTGAGCCACCGCAGCAGGTCTCCTGCTTCCCACGTGTCCTCTTCGCAGCTCACGCGACCACAGTTTCCGAGGAAAGCTCCTTATCAACGGTCTTCCACCCAGCCTCACACAGGCAGATGGCATATGCCCACCACCAATATTTTTAGATTTAAAAGCATAAAATCCCAAAGAAAATCCTGATTTTAGGAAAAGATCCTCATTTTCCAAAAATGAAAATATTTTTAGAGAATTTTATTTTTAGGCATATTTTTTTTAAGATTTTATTTATTTATTTAATTGACAGACAGAGAGAGAGAGACAGCCAGAGAGATAACACAAGCAGGGGGAGTGGGAGAAGGAGAAGCAGGCTTCCCGCGGAGCAGGGAGCCAGATGCGGGGCTCGATCCCAGGACCCTGGGATCATGACCTGAGCTGAAGGCAGTCGCCTAACCAACTGAGCCACCCAGGTGCCCCTATTTTTAGGCATATTTTTAAAACTCTTTAATTACTTCTTAACTCTTTCTAAAAATTGTGATGTGTTTTTCATAATAAAAGATCACTCATGAGCAATAAACATATTGTTATAATTCCCATTTTTCAAAAGACTAAGCATATTCTTCATTATATTATTAGTGATAAAATGTTGCTGATGTTTCCAGAAATATGTTTAATTTTAAAGCTCAGTGGGGCACTGAAATCTAATTAATGTTTCTGTTAAATGTGACTTTAGAGAAGGCCAAGCTGTGAAAAATCAAGATTGATTTAAGTTTAGTATTTTTTTTGTTCTTCTGCACTTCCTCCCCTGACTTCTTCAAAGCACAATCCCTTTCTCCACCAACAGGAAAACACCAAATAATTCAAGCCAACCCAAGAGTATAATAACATACACTTTGCCAGGAACAACCCTGCTGAGACCTAGCAGGTCTCTTGCTATCCTTCACCTTTATGACTATGAATTATCAATGAATCATTTTAAGAACTAGTTACTCTTTGTTTTTAAAGGCATATTCTGTATTCTATTTCTTATCATATACACAATTTTAAATGCTACACAATAACATGCAAGAACAAAATACACACACACACACAATTTTAAAAACCATTAATAAGTATGCTTTTCTTTCCCCAAAGGGAAGGGGGGGAAAAAAAGATACATGTTGGGAAAAGCCCCGGGCTGCAGGATTTAAAAATTAAGTGTCAGTAGTTCCATCAAGTTTAAATGTTAACTCCATAATGCCATCAATTCAGCCACACCTGACTTGAGTGCAAGTGACTGTCCCGCCTGCCCCCCCTCCACTCATGAATCTCTAACTCGTAGATAAAATATACTTTATCACCAAACATGCTACCACTAACTGTTCCAGAACTTATTCTGAAGTAAGAAGTAACTGAAATCACAAATGACAAATGTGAACGTGAATGCTCTAGAAAAACAGGGTAAGGTACACCATCTTGTCATGGACTCAGTAACACCAAGACAAACTAGAATAGAAGAGAAAGTGAGAATCTTGACATAGTTCAGCAATCCTAATTCCTAGATGAAGGCACTAATTCCTTACTCGTAGCCCTGATGGTCTTCAATCCCACCTACTACAACTTTTTAAAATGTGTCACAGTTAAAAACGCTTCAATGGCTACTCACTATCTACAAATGAAGTTCAAACTTTATGGACCCTTCACAATATGGTCCCATTCACCTTCCAGTTTTACTTCTTGCTACTTGTATCATCTGGCCACTCTGAAATATTTGTCATTCCCAGCACATGATGTGTTTTTATACCTCTTTAACCAAAGTTTGCTATTTGTCTGCCTGTGATGCTCTTCCCCACCATCATATGGTAAAACGTATCCTCTCAAGACCCAGTCAAATGTCAAAGGTCTGGAACCTTTCTCAAATGCCTCCATGCTCCAAGCAAAATTAACTGTTTACTCAGCATTTTATGGCATGGACCAAGGACCCAGCTGGCCTGGATTCAAATGTGAATTCTGCTCCTTCTCATAGTTTCATTTGGGGCAAACTGCTTAATCTCTCTGTATCTTAGTTGTCTTGTTTACAAAATAAGAATTATTATGATTATTGTTGTAACACCTAACAGCTGTGTTTTAGTTGCCCTAAATGCCCAAATCTTATCATTATTGTTATTATTCAAGTATAAACTCCTTGAGAACAGGAACCATATCATATATTCCTGATTTAATTTCATCACCTAAAATAGTGGCAGTTATATTTAAAAAGTCAAATAAATATTTTAAAATTAAACATAATTTATATAAAAAAAGATAAGCAAACAGCACTGTGAAACAAATAATAGCATTCTGTCACCCCAGAGGTAGAGGGGTAGGAAGGAGAAAGAGGATGAATGGATGGAACAAGATCATAAATACTTTTGACAGCAATTCAATCATTGTAACATAGAAATAACCAGAAATGAATTATAACAGTATCTCTTATGTAGCATAATGGTAAAAATGGTATCAGTCCATCATGTTGGCAACACTTTTCAAAGCAGTGCCAAAAGACAGAACTACTGATGTTAGAAGTCTATACAAAATTGGAATTAGATAACTGTTGATTTCAAATACAGACACCTTTATTTCTCCTAACTTTTGTTCTGAAATACTTTAAACCTACAGAAGGTTAGAACAGTGCACCATATACTTCTACAGTTCACTCTTGAACAACATGGGTTTGAACTGCATGGGTCCACTTATATGTGATACAGTACAGGACTGTAAATGTATTTTCTGTTCCTTACAATTTTCTTTTACTTTTTTATTGTTATGTTAATCACACCTTACATCATTAGTTTTTGACATAGTGTTCCATGATTCATTGTTGTTCCTTACAATTTTCTTAATAACACTTTCTTTCCTCTAAAAGAAACTAAACTTAACTAAACTGAACTAAACTTAAACCAGTAGCTTACTTTATTGTAAGAATACAGTATCTAATACATAAGAGCATATAAAGTAGATTAATACATATTAATAAATGTAATAAATGTATTTATTAACAGTTAATTGACTATTCATGTTATCCATCTATGTTAGCTTCCAGTCTACAGTAGGCTAAGCAGTTAAGATTTGGGGGAGTCAAAAGTTGTATGTAGGGGCGCCTGGGTGGCTCAGTCGGTTAAGTGTCTGCCTTCAGCTCAGGTCATGATCTCAGGGTCCTGGGATGGAGCCCTGTGTCAGGCTCCCTGCTCAGCAGGGAGTCTGCTTCTTCTTCTCCCTCTGTCCCTCCCCCCTGCTTGTACTCTCTCTCTCGCTATCTTTCTCTCTCTCAGATAAATAAAGA